CTTTTGATCATTTATATTTGTTCTTCACTATATTCATTTAATGATGTGATATGTTCTTTTATGTGTGTATAATGCTTGACCTTGGAAATACTTTAAGACAACCTCTTGAGAACAATCAAATTAAAGAAGTTAAAAAGATATCAATCATTAACAACATTCAAACTTAAGTTTATGCAGATATATCAAGCATCTCTTTTTTTGTCTGTTTGATTTGGAAGTATAAGGGATTAATGGCCTTAACATATACCAAAAAAATGTAGACTAGAGCGAAGGGCGTAAAAATCACAGATCTGAAAACCCTAACCCATGGCAAAAGTAGATCGGCCGTCGCTACCGCCGGAAGTAGGTCTGCTGCTGCCATGGTCATTCGTCGACGATGCTGTTGTTTGTGGCTCCTCTGTCCCGTTTAAGTTACATATATTGTTAGCCTGACTTTCTTTTCATTTTTGTTTTCTTTTTTTGGATGGCCTACGGATAGGCCCCTACAAGTGTAATTAATATTTTGCACCCTTTTTGAATCTTGTTTTAATAATGTTTCTATTTATTTCAAGATTTTGCTTTCTTTTATTCTATTATTATTTATGCAACTAAATTTTGTTTTAAAGAATGTTGAATCCTATATATATATGTAAAAGAGGGTTTCAAAGTTGTGGTGATTGGTGACGACACATGTCATGCCACGCGTGCATAGTACTTGTGGTCACGCCACACGTAAATCACATGACACCAGTACGTCCATCCATGCATGCATAGTTTATTTTGTTTTAAATAATCTTTATTTTTGTTTTTTATACTCTTCACTTTCCAACAAAAAATTATTATTTTTATTAACTTTTTATAAACTTTTCACTTTCTGGCTATGTTAAAAAAAATTCATTGTTTTAACATATTTTTAAAATATTCGCAACTATTTCATAATTTCAAAAAATATATAAAATTTATTAATTAAAAAAAGAATGTTGCTTATAATTTTTAAAATTATCCATCATCTCAAAAAAAACTAATTATATATAAATTTTATCACACGTGCATCTTTATCAACTTCATAACATATTTTAGTTGTTTTTCTTATTAGATTACTTATTTTATTATATATTTTTCAGCAAGCTAACAAAGTAAAAGTTTAATTGAAGGATTACATGTGGCACATACAAATATGCATTATCTAATAATGTGTCATTCCTTAATTCATCTATTTGAGATTTTTATTTTAATTTTTATTAATTAAACCAATTTTCATTATTATTTTATTTGATGACCATTAATTTTGCTTAAAATAATTATGTCATGCAGGCACTCCACCTC